GGAGGATCTGAGGTGTGTCCTCAAAAGATTACCTCAGACTCCAGGGCAAAAGGGCTGGGTTAATACCCATGTGTTACTCCTACCACACCTCACTCTGGAAACAGGCAGTTGGTCTTACCTGAACTGCATGTTTAAGAGAAGGTGTGCGAGGAGTCACTTCCCCCCCTTGTTTAGGGCGCCCCGTGCCAGGGGCCTGAGTTAGCCAAGTGGTCAGTCAGGGCCAATAGGAAGGATATGTGCTTGCGTTGTTCTGTTGTTCTTTCCTTCCAGGGCTCTGCTACGACCATCGGTTAATCTGGGAGAGAAGGAGGATCAGAGGTGTGGCCTCAAAAGATTATCCTCAGACTCCAGGGCAAGAGGGCTGGGTTAATACCCATGTGTTACTCCTCCCACACCTTCTCTTAAACATGCAGTTCAGGTAAGACCAACTGCTATTTTCAGGTTCCTCCAGAGATGTTCAATAGAGTTCAAGTCAGGACTCTGGGTAGGTCACTCTTTGACATTCAGAGAGTTGTCCCTAAGTCATACCTGTGTTGTCCTGATTGTGTGCTTAGGATCGTTGTTGGAAAGTTAACCTTCAGCCCAGTCAGGGGTCCTGAACGCTGTGGAACAGGTTTTCACTGAGGATATTCCTGAACTTTGCTCCATTCAGCTTTCCCTCAGCCCTGACCAGTCTCCCAGTACCTGCTGCTGAAAACACCCTCACAGCATAATGTTGCCAACCCCTATGCTTCACTGTTGGGATGATATTGGGCAAATGATGAGTGGTGCCTGGTTTCCTCCAAATATAATGTTTAGAATTGAGGCCAAACAATTCAATCGTGGTTTCATCAGACCAGAGAATCTTGTTTGTTACAGCCTGAGGGTCCTTCAGGTGCTTTTTTGCAAACTCCAAGTGGGATTTCATGTATTTTGCACTGAGGAGAGCTTCCATCTAGCTACTCTGTCCTAAAGCCCAGATCAGTGGAGGGTTGCAGTGATGTTTGTTCTTCTGGAATTCTGTCCCATCTCCACATAGGATCTCTGGAGCTCAGTCAGAGTGGTCGTTAGATTCTTGGTCACTTCTCTTACTGAAACCCTTCTCCCCCAGTTGCTCAGTTTGACTGGGCATCCAGGTCTTAGATGAGTCCTGGTTATGCCAAACTTCTTCCATTTGAGAATTATGGAGACCACTGTGCTCTTAGGAACTTTCAGTGCACCAGAAATCTTATTGTAGCTTTCCCCAGATCTGTGCTTGCAATAATCCTGTCTCTGAGCTCTGCAGGCAGTTCCTTTAACCTCATGGCTTTTGCTCTGCTACATTATCCAGTGAGCGTGCATAAGCACACCAACGTTCCTATTGTCCCTGTCTTATTGTCCCCATTTATCTGTATTTACTTCCTTTGTTCATGTTTATGTTCATACCTATACTTGTTATCTTATACATGTTTGACAAATAAATAAATAAATTATACATTGTCAGCTGTGAGGCCTTCTATAGAGAGGTGTGTTCATTTCCAAATCATCCAATCAATATAATTTACCATAGGTAGATCTCAATCAAGGTGTAGGAACATGTCAGCAGCTGTCAAGAGAAATGGAAGGCACCTGAGCTAAATTTCAAGTGTTGTTGCAAATGGTCTGAATACTTGCGCCAATGTTGTATTTCAGTTTTTTGAACAACTCTAGAAACGTGATCAGCCTAACAAAATTGTCAAAAGTGAAGGGGTCTGAATACTTTCTGAATTCACTGAATGTAATGCTGGATTCAGCAAAAATTACTCCAGTTAAAACATAACATATTGAGAATTTTGAGGCTGATATGATGACAAAAGCTGACTACTAGAGCAAAAGCTACTTACTAAAAAGGTAAAGGTTTCCCTGTCAGTTGTGTCCAACTCTAGGCACAGTGCTCGTTTCAGTTTCTTGGCTGAAGGAGCCAACATTGTCACCCACCAAAGTAGTACCTATTAATTTAGTTGTATTTGCATACTTTCAGGCTTTTAGATGGGCATGAGCTGAGGCAAGAAATTAGCAATCATTAAATAGCCCCTTCTTTTTAAGGATAATGATGATAGAGTTTCATTCATATAAACTTCCGGGAAATAAACATTCAAACTTTAATTCAAACTTATAGTGCACTTGAAAAATTGCATCCGTGAGAAACCTAATTTTAAAACTGAATGTCTGGTTTTCTTTGCAGTGGCTTTGTATGCAATCAGTGCTGTTTATTTTGCTGGAGTGATGGTTCGCCTNCTGAACTGTCTTATGTATAAAATGTCTTATTACAGATTTGGAGAAATGCAGGTTAGTCCTAAGGTGTTTTGGTGCATCTTAATAGTAGTAATGCTTCTTTGTAATTCTATGTGTATCCCTGACAATACATTTGACAGTTATTGTGATAAAATCATCATTATTAAGCCTTTCTTATAATATGATAAAAGTGAGGTAGTTCTTTTTAATTCTAAAAAGGAAAAGAAAGGAAATTATTTCTTGTAATAATGGATAAGCAAGCAGGGACACAATTTTTTTTTTACCAAACATATCCTTTACCTCTACCAAAATATCCTTTACCAACTGTACTAGTTACCATCTTGTTATTGAACTCAATTCAAAGTTTGGTTTTTACCTCTCAAAATTTGAGGTTAGATTAGTTTCAAAATTCTACTGTGCCTTTATATTTCCTTGTCAACTAAGATATAGCAAATAGATTCTAGTTAAAAGGTAGTCTAATGGCATTTAACTCTCATTGGAATCTTTTAAAGAAACAGCATTTAATTTTATTTCAAAAACATTCTTCTTGAAATAAAATGCTTTATTTCAAAAGCATTCTTAGTGGCAATGCATGATATTATGATTATTAGTTTATGATGTTTTTTGGCCAAATTTGAAATAGAAAATCAAGATCGTTCTAAGAGGGGAGGGATTCTGTTGAAATTCTTGATATTTTGTCCTTTTCTGTACTGAAACTGCTTGCTTATTTCACATTTAATTTATATAGTTTAATGCTGGACTTCTACACTGTGTGGAGTAAAAGTAAGGCCTCTTTCATCATGATTTGTTTCAAATTATAAATAACATTTTCAAATCTGTTACCCATGTTTTCAAGATAATGTCTATACCTTCATAGTTTGTCTAGAATTTAATATACCTGCAAACTAATGAATTGCATTAATTTTGTAGTTGGATTTTCGGACTCCCCCAGGATTTGATCGAACCCGCAATGCTGAAATTGGCAACAAAGACATTAAGTTTAAACATTTGGAAGAAGCCTTCACTTCAGAGCACTGGCTTGTTAGAATATATAAAGTGAAAAAGCTAGACAACAGAGAAACACTAGATCATAAGCCTAGACTAACCAACATTTTACCAAAACAGAAGTATTTGTCAAAAAAGGTGGGTTCCTAGTGAAATAGTTCAAAGGAAAATTTTAATGCTATACTAGTTTTACCAGCTATACAATTAGGTCTTTCTACTAGCTACATAAACACATACTTTGTCTCAAATAATAGACCTAATGGATGATAATAATGGTTCGCATTTTGATTAATACAGCATGTGGGAATTGTATTTATCATTTGTGCTCATAGGCAGACTGTGCCCCAAAAATCCCAGCGAAGTGTAATAAAATTGACTTATCTAAAATACATTAATAGTATTCCAGTTATTCTGTTGGTTCACTTAATAAATGTGAAAATGTCTTTCTGAAAAATGATGCTTAAGACATTTCAGAATGACTTATTTTGTAAAATAATTAAACCTGAACTTGTTGACAGCTCAAGTGTCTGGCTTTTTTCCTGTTTTAAAATCATTTCATTTGAATACATTTTTTCACCATTATTGTGTGGTCATCTAGTCTATTGGACAATCAAGTCTTCAGGAATGAAAATAAAATTCTCTTCAAACAGAAAAGTTTTACCTGATTTTTTTTATAAGAAAGTAATTACTATAAATATTCAAGCAGCAATTCTGAGTTTGTGTGTGTGTGTGTATACACAGACACATATACATATATATACACCACAACACTCTTAAAGAAATCAGAATTTTATTACTGCAGTTTTTGGAATAATACTTCTAAACACTAAAAATTACAATGGCATTAGCAGAAAGCAAACAGCATCAAATATTTTTCCTTGCTACAGGAAAATACGCTAAATAACTCATTCAAATTAATTGATAGTATTTGCTGCAAATAAGTGTAGTCTGAAATCTAAACGCTTGGGTTTCACTGAAAACAGCAACAATGACTAAAGGACAACACACATAGAATAACACAAATTTATGGTGATGGATTTGGGGAACATGCTACATGTCAGAACTGGAAAGATCACATCCCAAAGCAACTGCATATGCTACTTCTTACCTTTCTAACCTTGACTTAAAACATAATAATTAAGGATTCTTGAGGAATACAAAAACATGAGCATTGTCACTAGAGCATTATAAATAACTAATACACTATTCTGTTTTTCTTTTTAGACTGCCAAAAGGAAGCGTGGCTACATTANACTCTAGTTGATAATAACACTTGGAATAACAGCCACATAGCTCTGGTATGTAGTGATTGATCACAGCTGTCACTGTACGTATTGGTTACATTGTAATATATTGAACATTATATTCAGTTATGATCATCAAAGCTTAATTCTAAAAAAAAAGATTATAAAACTGGAATGTGCCAAGATTACAGTAGGATTTTTATGGGATTCAGTTCACAGTTAATATAATTTTCAAGTTTTATGAAAAAAATATATTGATATATGTAGACTGATTTCAGTATCTGTGTCTTATTTTTCCAAGGTTGAAATTTTTAAAAATGTTATTGCTATTTTAAACAGCATGTTTTCTTGCATGTGAACTTTACAAGGCACCCCTAATGAAGCTAGCATATAATAAGAACTGGTTATTTATCCAAATAGTAATGTTTTTGCCTCACAAATCTCAGCTGAGTTTATTTTTCTCCCAATAAAATAACATACTCCGATATTAAAATTGAATTTTAGATAGGAGATGGAGAAAATTCATGTTTATGAGACTGGTTATATAACTTGTTCATTCACCAAGAGGACATCCTGTAAGCCATTTGCACTTGCAGTCCTCAATATGTGTTGTTTGCAGCTCCTAAGAATCTTTTTGTTTTTAAATCTGCAACAAAGGTTAAACATGAAAGGGTTAAAATGCTGGTACCCTTAATATATATATTTTGTAAATCATCATCATCTAAAAAAAATAGAAAATAGAATAACAGAATTGGAAGGGACCTTGGAGGTCTTCTAGTCCAACCCCCTGCTTAGGCAGGAAACCCTACACCACTTCAGACAAATGATTATCTTATCTCTTCTTAAAAACTTCCAGTGTTGGAGCATTTACAACTTCTGGAAGCAAGTTGTTCCACTGATTAATTGTTCTAACTGTCATTAAATTTCTCCTTAGTTCTGAGTAGCTTCTCTCCTTGATTAGTTTCCACCCATTGCTTCTTGTCCTACCCTCAGGTGCTTTGTAGAATAACTTGACTCCCTCTTCTTTGTGGCAACCCCTGATATTAGAACACTGCTATCATGTCACCCCTAGTCTTTCTTTTCATTGGACTACATATACCCATTTCCAGCAACCATTCTTTATATGTTTTATCCTCGAGTCCCCTAATCATCTTTGTTGCTCTTCTCTGCACTCTTTATAGAGTCTCTACATCTTTTTTACATAGTGGTGACCAAAATTGGATGCAGTATTCCAAGTGTGGCATTACCAAGGCAATATAAAGTGACATTAATACTTCACGTGATCTTGATTCTATTCCTCTGTTTACACAAACTAGAATTGTATTGGTTTTTTTTGGCAGCTGCAGTGCAGTGCTGGTTCATATTTAAATGGTTGTCCACTAGGATTCCAAGATCCCTCTCACAGTCACCCTTATTGAGCAAAGTATCACATATACTGTACCTGTGCATTTTGTTTTTCTTGCCTAAATGTAGCACCCTACTTTTTTCACCATTCAATTTCATTTTGTTAGATAGCGTCCAATGTTCAAGTCAGTCAAGATCCTTTTGTATCTTAAGCCTATCTTCTAGAGTGTTGGCTATTCCTGCTAGCTTGATGTCGTCTGCAAATTTGATGAGTTCCCCATCTATCCTCTCGTTCAAATCATTGATGAATATGTTGAAGAGTACTGGGTCTAAAACAGAGCCCTGGGGTACCCCACTGCATATCTTCCTCCATGTACTTGCAGTTCCATTGAGAACTACACGTTGAGTGTGGTTGGTCAGCCAGTTATGAATCCATCTGGTGGTGATGTTGTCTAACCCACATTTTTCTATTTTATAAGTAGTAAGTTATGGTCTACTTTGCCAAATGCCTTACTGAAGTCCAAGTAAATTATATCAACAGCACTCCTCTAGTCCACTAGTTTTGTCACTTTGTCAAAGAATGCAATAAGATTAGTCTGGCATGATCTGTGTCAAGATATGACAAGATATGCTTAGCAAGTTGACAATCTGTTTTTGATAAACCCATATTTGTTTTTGGTTACTACTTCGTTTGTTCTAGGTGTTCGCTGATTCGTTGCTTGATTATCTTTTCCAGAATCTTCCCTGGTATTGAGGTTACTGATGGGTTTGTAGTTTCCTGGATCTATTTTTCCCCTTTTTTGAAGATGGGAACGATCAGCTACATTTTTCAGTTCTCTGGCAGTTCCCTGGTGCTCCAGGATCTTTGAAAGATACAATTCAGTGGTTCTGAGATCACATCTGCCAGTTCCTTCAGAACCTTGGGGTGTAATCCATCTGGTCCTGGTGATTTGGACTCATCTAGATAGGTTCTCACTTACCATTTTCTTCCCTATTTTGTGTTCCTAATCTGTTTTTGTGGTACTGTTTTTGATAGGTTGGGCTGTTTTATCTCTTTGTATAAAGACAGATGCAAAAAAATGAGTTAAGTAGTTCTGTTTTTTCCCTGTTGCTTGTCACCACCTTGACACTTTCCCCCAGCAATAGATCAATTGTTTCCTTAACTTTTTTTCTTGTTTTTAACAAGAAAATCATCATCATGATCCTTACCAAAAGTGAATCCCTGATCTGATCCTGCTATATTGTATTAGTTGAACTAGCTCAAAATGTAATATCAGCTTTATTATGGTACTTTAATCTTATAACATTTTTGCACTTTTGCTAGATTTTTTTTATATTAGTAACAAGAATACTCTAATTTAAAAAATAGTTCAGAAACATGCTGAAGTTACATTATACTGATAACTGCAATGACATAAATCTTGCATCTGACAAGAAGATGTAAGTTCCAGGCCAGCAGACAGATAAGTCCCTGCTACTGGTTAGAGCAGTGTTTTTCAACCTTTTTTGTGCAAAGGCACACTTTTTTCATGAAAAAAGTGTGCCTTTGCACAAAAAAGGTTGAAAAACACTGGGTTAGAGGATAGTGGAAGGGGCACAAGGGAGATACAGCAAGGGAGAGTACAACAAGTGCAATAAGGATTGGGAATGTAATAACGGAGTGCACAAGAGGCACAGGTCATGGAGAGTGCAAGAGAGATGAAGGTCAGGAGAGATGTATGAGAGTCCCAACATGAGTGGGAAGAAATGCAGGGATGTGACACAAATTCAAGAAAATGCACCCCATGTTGGGAGTGATGCCAATGACTGGTATGGTATGTGCACAGAAGGAGCTGGAAAAGAAGGTGGGGAAGACTTATCCCAGTGACTTGCCATTGGCAGCTTCCCCTTTAATAGTCATAAATCAAGGATTACCCATATATTAAATACTTTAATATAGGATTGTGTTTTAATGTGTTTCATGGAGTGCACAGGACATGGTATGGGCTTTGAACTATTTACAGATTTCTCTGGAATTAATATGGCCATGGATATTATGGAAGGGTAGTTTTTAAACAATAAATTGCAAAATAAGTCACCACAGTTTTTGCATCTATTAAAGAGTAGTGACAATTTTTTCTTTCCAAACTATTGTCATCTTGGCAGGTAACAGGATTGGATAGAAAATAGTATTTTTTGAAAAGAATGGGGTTGATTCTTAGAAAGTTTGCATTTGGATATAATTGTTATGTGATGTAGAAGACTACTAAATGAATTTATCTTTTAGTTAGACAAGATTCTAAATTGCATTGGGTTTATTTCATAAGAGATCAATAACCTGTTGGGTATGCAGGGCTAATCTTGTGATTTGATAATATTATTTTGATAATAAAGATTTTTTTTCAAGAGAAGTAAATAAAACATTTTCTTGTTCATATCACTTTTACATATATTCTATTTACATGTAGTCCTTAGGTCACAACATTTATTCAACAACACAAGTATGGTAGCCTTCAACAAATGATTTTTATACCTGGTCCCTAAAACTATGGCTAGAATAGCTCCCTTGTGATCATGTGATAAAAATTGGGCTGTTTAGCAACCTGTCTGCATTTATGGCCACGCTACAAATCAATTCCTATGGTCCACATATCTCCCCCCCTTGTCCAATCTTTCCGTTTTGTCACCCTACACAGTGCACTAAGTGGCAGTATTTGGGCTGTCCTCTACTTCTGCCACAGGGCAATCTCAGTCAAGAAGTGTGGCTTCGAGTTCCACAGTACAGCTAGCTAAATGCTGCAGTGCAAAATTCCAGTTGTAAGCACCTTCCTGTGCATCATAAACCTTGTTGCTTTTAGCTGACCTTCACTATCTTCTTCCCACTGCTGACAAGGCGTGCTTGGCCTGAATCTATACTAGGCAACTGCTAGCCATGCCTTCTTCTTGATGCTATTTGCACCACACCTTCCCTGGCCTCCTGCACTCACATCACAGCACTATCTCCTTCAACTTCTGCATCACCTGAACTAGTTCTTTTCCATCTCCATGTGGCACTCCTGCACTCCGTACCTAGAACTCACCAGTCTTGCTTCAACTTCACACCTTAAATTACAATGACAACCATGACTGGATTGCCATTGCTAAATGATGCAGTCATGTGACATTGCACGATATGACTGCATCACTTAGCAATGACAATCCAGCCTCAAATTGCTGTGGAAACTCCAGAACTACCCATACATGTACTTTTTCTGATGTACATATTTATATGCAACTTTGGAATTGAAACTCAAGTTGTTAAATTTCAAATTCACAGGTTTAAACTGTGTCTATTAAAGTTGAATATACTAGAATGGTTTATTTAAAAGACATGCAGACTTAACCAAATTCAAAATACCTAAAGTTAAAGTAAATTTAAGGAGAATATATATTTTTTTAAAAAAAAATATTCTAGGTAGGAAAAGCTATGTCATCAAATGAGACAGCAGCCTATGAGATCATGAAAAGTCTAGATGTGGATTATGTCTTAATAATCTTTGGAGGTGTAATTGGATATTCTGGTGATGACATCAACAAATTTTTGTGGATGGTAAGGATAGCAGAAGGAGAACATCCTAAAGATATTAGGGTAAGTCGAAACAGCTTTTAAAATGTGCACATTCAGTATTCCTGCCTTAGCTTTTTG